TATGTCCAACATGTTCTTTCTGTGTCCTTGTTTCGAAATTCGTTCAACGATTTGTTTCGACGAAGATTATCTATTCATATATTTAACAACTGTTTTGTAATATTAATCTACACTAATATTATAAAGGATAAATTTTATAAGTTTGAATGTAGGGGGTCATCTTTGAAGTACTGATTCATTTCTGTAAATTCTTTCACTCATAGAAAATTGTACTAACGCCGAGTGCTATAGGTTATATTTTATTTCGATATAAATATGTTTACTGTCTGATATCATAACAACTCAATCGAAGTCAGAAATAAACGCCGGTGGGTTTCTTTACCGTCTTGCGCTGCCTAAATGGCTTAAAATAACGCAAAACAATATATGACAAAAATCGAGGGATACATCCGAGCAAAGCGAAGATAAGTCGCTAGGAAAATATATATACCGTCGTAATCAAAGATAAATATAAATATTTTAAGTAAATACATATAATTGTAGGTACTAATGTCTCATTATCATGTTCCCGTTGTATAATATTTAATTTATATATTATTTAATTTAATCATATATTAAGAAAATTCTTTATTAACTTAATATTCCATTATTAACTAATAAAGTTATATATAAAAAGATACCAGTGTATGTATCTTAATTTATAGCTTAGTTTATGTTTAGCTCTCAAATGTTTACTGCTTCCCTTTAAAGCATACGGCAACTTAAAATTACGCCCCATTCATACGTAAATGGGGAAAATTTCTAGTTTATTATCAAACTAAATATAGAAGATTCAAGAAGTTTTACGTGTTATGATACCTCAGGGACTGTTAGGAGTTTAAAACTGTTAGTTTGTTATGTACTCACTAACAGTTTTATGCTCAATAGTTTTCGTCTATATACAAGAAAAGGCCACTTTCTTTACTTTGTTTTGTTTAAACTATAATTTTCTTATTCATATTGATGACTGTTTAAATTATTTAATTATATTATTTGTTAATGTTAATATATGGTTGTAATATATGGTTTTTCTGTGATGCAGTAACAGACAGACAGCCAAAAACTATACATAGATAAGGAATCTGTATCGATAATAATGTTTATTTTAATAAGATTTTCCAAAAAAATATTTAATGTACAGATGCGCCTTAGTTACAATTTTATTATATGTATAGATATACAATAAAAACTTAATGCGAGCGGAAATCAAATTGATGATTGATTGTTTTTGTTTAAGGTTTACTGGAAGTCAAAGAAATGACATCATCTATGAGAGAGATATTCTATTACTGACACCACCAATACCGACAATATTTTTTTACATAAATAATAAAGGAAAGATCCAAAAATGCTCCAAGGATGAGCTGCATTCTTATAAATCCAGTAAAGCAGTGAGAATAATAATAATAACAAGGCCTTTTAATTAACTAAAAAACTAATTAATTAACGTACCTATATAGATATAACGTACCTAGGTAGATATATGAAAGTAATATTTATAATAGATTAATAGGGCTTCTATAATTAAGGCCTCTGGCGGATAAAGTTCTCTTCCAACAGTATCCAGGTTGTCCTTACTTTTGCTTTCTTTGTCCAGTCTTCTCCATCATTTTTCGTAATTTCTTCTACCCAAAATCTCTGGGCTCTATTGCCACTTGAACCTGACTAATTTATATGTACAACAAGAAATATATATATATATATATATATATATATATATATATATATATATAAAATCAGTGAGATATTAGATACTAAAGCACTAAAAGAGATTAGTATATTTATATACAAATGAGACTACTATTATAAATACGAAACTTTATATGTGTGTGTATGTTTTTAACTCCTTTACGTTGAAAAGGCTGGCTGGATATGGATACAATTTGCCAAAAGAAGGCCCTGCCTATATTATAATGTTATATATACAAAAGGTACCTAAGAATTCATCCAAGCAATGCCAGGGAAAGTCGTTAGTATAATAAAAAAATGTTTAAAATTACAAATCATAGAGCAATCGTCATTCATAAGGTGAAAAAAATATTGAAGGCACAGTTGTTGAATAACTTCATAGCATACAACAGTCAGGAACAGAGATCACGTAGCCAGCCGCCCGAATGGAAGGTATAATCGAATCAATTATTACGCTCGTGCTGTGCTACACTCACGCACGGCACAAAAATTTAAATCTGAATTAAATAGTCTCGTGCAATTTATAGTAATTCAAGTTTTATAGTTTTTCATCAAAATTAAAATAGCAATGTCAAAATTTATAGTAAAAATAAAATTATATATATATATATATATATATATATATATATATATATATATATATATATATATGTGTAATGTAAGAAGTTTATGGCAGTATTGTTTTACATTATATACAATACTGACCAACAAACAAAAAACATTTTTAAAATATCTTTTCAAGATCGCTGTACAGTTACTAAATTTAAGGGATTTTCACAAGTGATTTAAGTATTGACTAATCGTGTCTAAGCTAATATTCATCGTAAGAATAGAAGTAAAGATTTTAAACATTGTAGTTTAAGTTTTCTTGGTAATATATTTATTTTCCTGTAAAATAAAGTTTAATTCACGCAAGCAAAGTCATGTATAATGACTAGTTTTTAGTAGCTGTAACTCCACTTTTTTTTACAAAACTCTTGTTATATTCTTTGAAAGCCATATTGTAATATTTTACAAAACAACAACAAGTACTTTGTACTTTATTCATTTAGTGTCCAAAAATTTTTCTCGGAAATTGTGGTTCATTCAAATTCTCATTAAGTAAATCCAAAAGAGCACGAGCGAATCTTTATTAGAATAAGATGAAATAAAACTTAAGTTACAAATATAAAGTAAGATATTGTAAAAAATTGAACATCGACGCCACTCGATTCCAAAGCTTTGCATTTAAATAAGGTTTATAAAATCACTTGAATATTCGATACTTTGTTTAGAATTTTCACATAGTACATAATATTCTTTTTGATGCTATAAAATGAAAATATATACATCGTGCATATGTTGGTACTTGGTAGGATAAGTATTGTTTTTAAAACGCTTGTAATTTTGAAATTCGTCTGTAACTTTTTACTTGTAAAGTTTAACATTCACGCGGAGATTATTGATGAAATTTGGTTGAAATTATGAAAAATAAAAAATAACTATATCACAAGTAACTCAAAAAATTAAAGAGAAAATTAAGCGCATCTTTGGATAGATTTTCACAATTGACTTAACGTTTAAAGTAAATAAATAATTTTAATTTAAGTATCGTCTGTGATAATATGACATATTTTGGGTTTGATGGTTTAGTGGCCACCAAAAAACCTGTTTTTTGTTCTTCTTTCCTTTATCCTATGCTACGTGCAGTCGTCACGACATGTTTCCTACATCCATTTCCTTCTGTCAGTCGTCATAACACACGTACATACTATATCGTTGGCTCACTATTACAAGTCACTATGTTACAATTTTAGTACTTATTTAGTTATTAATGCTACAAGGTTCTATGTGTCATTAGCTACAGTTTTGCAAAAACAAACCACTAGATAGCGGCACTTTAACTACAAAGTATTTAATTTTACATAGTTCTATGTTATTTTTTTACGATAACAAAATAACGAAGTTCTATGTAAAAGTTACTAAACTTCATTAAAATTAACATAGAACTTTGTAATAGTAAGCCAACGAATTATGTCTACCGTATCTCTTATCTCTCTTCTATATATATCGCATCGTCAATGGTAAAATCTATGATTTTTATTTCATTTCCGCCGTAGCACGAAGTCCGTAATACGTAGAGATCATTTTGAAGTTTCCTGAGCAAAAGGGATTAAAGGCGTCAAAATAAAAATTTAATCAATAAAGTGTATCGATTCAGGATAAGAATAAATAATTTCAAATAAAATAACGAAAACGTACATTTTATTTTCTTCAAAAAACATTAGAACGAAACTTAAAGTAATGGAATATATTTATTCAGTATTTTATTCTTAATCTTACAATATAAATGTGTCTCATACACATGACCACCTGTTTCTTGACTCTTGTATCTAGTAATTACATCCTATACAAATTCTTTATAATAACTAAATTAAATTTAAATTTAAAAAGCCTCCGACATGTGATTTCAAATTTTGTGGTGGCGGCCATCATGGATTTGAAATTTATCATAGTGTATATTTTACTAGTCAAACCCTTTCATTTGATACTCATATTGAGGGAGATGTGAAAAAAATATGTAATCCGCCTTTAAGTGGGGGCGGCCATCTTGGATAGGTTTTCATCAAACAGATAGCTAAGAACACTCCCGAATAATTCACTTTTCAAACAAAAAAACAAAATCAAAATCGGTTCTTCCATTCGGGAGCTACGATGCCAGAGACACACAGACACGCCAAACTTATAATACCCCGTCGTTTTTGCGTCGGGAGTTAAAAATGAAGGAATGTGAGAATATAACAAAATATTTTATTCAAAATCTCTACGAACCGTTCGATATTTAACATATTTACAAAACGTAACATTACAATGACGTAAATTCTCTTACATTACCATATGTAGCAGTGTGTAAGTAATGAGAGTCAAGTGATTGATGATCAATCACCCATTCAGTTACTGATTCCAGTCAATATTACTGAACCAGACAAATTCTCAAACAACCAAATCTTAATGCCAATTTCCAACTAAATAATTGCATCCCCAGGCATTAATTCAAATTCTTGGTACTGGAATATCTATCATATTCATCTATTACTATGGCTTTGTATTTGAATGACTGAATGTCAATTATGTTCATTGTTACTTATTCAATAGAATTAAAGCTCTCTTTATTAAAACATGTTATCTGAACCATAATTACCTATACACATATTATGTACGTAATATGTATTCGAATTTAATTATTAGTATTAATAAAATTTCACGTTATTGGATTAAGTACTGGCTTTTGAAACATCAGATAAATATATTTCTAATAAAAATACAATTGTTTGTATAAAATAGGTCAACTATTCTACTTCTATAAAAAGCCGGCTACAGCGGCCAATCTCATTGAGATTAACCAACTGCGCAGGAGATATTATAGTGCTCAAGTGTACGCGCAGACACAACGTGCACTCTCTATTCCTATCACTCTCATACTCCGGTGGGACGACTGCTCGACACGACCAGTGAGAGTTAAGGCGCAGGACCGACGGCTTTACGTGCTCTCCGAGGCACGGGGGTGAAACACCGCCAACTTCCAACTCCGGGCTGTTACTGAGACCTACTATACAGAAAGACTCAATAACTAAACTTGGCCCGACCCGGGACTCGAACCCAGGACCTCCGAGTGTGCAGCCGTACATGCTAGCTACTACACCACCGAGGCAGTATATATATATACATATACGATACATATACATATACGAGGTAATACAAATCCATGACGAATATTACAATGATTATATGAAATAAAAAGTGTCTAAAATATTTTAATTAACTCCAAAAAGCTATATAATTAAATAACAAAAAAGATAAATTCATATCTTTGTTAAATTAGAATTTATCTCTCCGGTGTACGAGTATATTTGACAGCCGATAAAACTTCAGTGAAAGCTTGTTTCATTATTTGGAGTGCATATTGACAAAGTCTGATACGGATGTGTATTAAATTGCTTTTATTTGATAGCTTTTGTGATATCAAATGCATGACTATTGTAACAACCAACTATACAAGATCAAAACAACATTTTTATAAATAACTGGGAATAATAGAAATATATTTTAACAATACTATAACAATAGATACCTTGTTATATGTAAGTCTTATAACGTAAAATAAACAATCCCTAGGTTTAGAGGGCTTGGACTAGATAGATGGGTGAAGAATTTATAGAATTGTATTGAAACTAACTAAATTGTTGTGTCATAGAATCATAATGTCATTCCCAAACATTATTTTAGGTTATAGAAAAATAAAATATATTGTCATGTTCATATCCCAACATGAAATTTCTAAAAAACATATAGATAGACTAGCATTGCCCGCGGCCCCGTCCGCGTTCAGATGACCAAAAAACAAATTCTTAGGTTTTACATATTAGTATACTCCTACAGTGCAGTTTTTGTATTTTTTCTCAGAAATGAGATATTTTCCCGCAGTAAAAAGTACTCTATATGTTGACCCGGAGAACCAGCTATCACCATACCAAATTTCATCAAAATCTCTCCAGTGGTTTTTCCGTGATGCGGTAATAGACAGATAGACAGACAAAAAATCTAAAAACTATAGATTCGGCCTCTGTATCGATAATAATGTTTATTTAAATAAGATTTTCCAAAAAATATTTAATGTACATATTCGGCTTGGTTACAATTTTATTATACATATGTACCTATAGATTAAAAGCTATGATGAAAAGTTATTATATAAATACGTACTTAATATAGGATATTTTCTTTATATGAAGTATAAATAATTCCACTCAACTCTATCTCATTTAAAGCGATTTATCACTTGAGCTTTTCATTTCATTTCCACTTGAAGTTTCGTGCAAAGTAGTAAGATATATAAGGCATAGAAATTTTTCACCGACTTAGCACTCCAACTATTTTACCGCTCCAGTAAATACTTTGAATCTTTACAGCCAGAAACTTATCTTTAAGGCCAAGAATTTATTAAAGCGAAAACAATGATTATATTAAAATACAGCGTGGGTATAGGTTTTAAGGTTATTGTTAGTGCTTACTTATAAATAAATATTGATTCATAAAATATTTTCCCAAATATACAAAAATATACTTAGCTTCACTCTGTAATACGTATGATATTATACAATTTTTTTTCAAAAAATAAATCATAATTAATTTATCATTTTTATAAAAAAAATCATAATTACAGTTCATATATGCCTAAATAAAATAAAAAAGTAAGTTAGTTAAGTATCTACTGGATATAAAGTGAAGTAAACAAAAAAATAATCTCATAATCTATACATATAATAAAATGTTAACTGATTCGAATCTTTACACTAAATATTTTATGGAAAATCTTATTGAAATAGTCATTATTATCAATTCAGGGGCCGAATCTATATATAGTTTATAGAATTTTCGTCTGTCTGTCTATCGGTCTGTCTGTGACCGCAAATTTAGTACGATGATAGCTGGTAATCCCGGTCAACATATAGGACACTTTTTACTGAGGGAAAATGTCTCATCTCTAAGAAATCGAAGGGACGAACTCGAGCGGACTGCTTCTTTACGATATAATACCATATATTTTTGTTAGCTTACAAAAACAGCGGGAATTTTAGCTGTTTCCCTTTGCTCTACCTACAGTATTTATCTTTACACTTTACCGCTCTTAACCGGTGACTTCCTCAGACGTACGCTCGGATTAAATAAACAGAACCATTTTGAAACGCTTGCGTCGCTTATCCAAAATGAATAAGTTAATAATTTCAATACTTTTTGTTATGTTTAGTGCTATTTATTTATACTGTAGGTATTTATTTGTAATTCAAAATTCCTTCATATATATATATGTACGTCTTTCTCATATGATTAATTTTCTTTTATCTACTTTCTTGCTCGCTTACTTGCTTCTATTTTTTCTTCTAACACTGCTTTTCCGCACTCACGTCGGTTCCCAGATGCAAAATCTTCAAGTTCTATACATTCTAAAAGACGGTCTTTCTTCCTTTAGCAGGCAGGCCCTGTACAGGTTCAGACTATCAGTGATTGTCAGTGAATGATTATCTAAAGTTAAGTTATATAGAGTGATATGTTTTTAATAAAAGGTCTGTTAAACTGTTAAAGTAACGGCATGCTGGACAACATTCCTTATTTTAATTACTATGCTTATAAACGAAACAAGCTGCCAGCTTTTGGCTCGCCAAAAGAGCTTAAAGCTCAAGATCTGTAAATCTAAATGATATAAATATAAAAAAATGAAAATATACCGGGATGAAATAAAACAGAATATAGCACTCTCCGGTTGGTAAACTGTATTCATACCAAAAATCACGCCAACACCGTTGCTGCCTCCACAATTTTCATATTCAATTACATTAGTAAGAATTTGTTTTTATCAATATATTTTTTATTATATTACTAGTTAAATTTATATATTTTTTTGTGTTCAATTAAATAAAAAATTATTTAGCAAGTTAAAATTTACACAATTTATTTTTTCGATACCTATCATGGTCAAATCTTATTAAATAGGATATCCTATAAATACGCAAAACGTTTTTGACTCTGTGTATTATAACATTCAAGCATTAATCATCAATGTTCGTTTCGATAAAACGTAATAGAATATTTCACTGTTTATTATCTTTAGAACAACAAAATATGAGATATGACAGAATTTTAATGACGCACCATACAATATTTCGAAATAGAATTTATTACTTTCCTTTAAAAGATTTCTATGAACGTACAGGAAAATTATATGATGGAATAAAGTCACAAGAGCTCTTATTTCCTGTAGATAAGTACAAGAAGTGGCACGAGCTTCCTGCATCTGATTTATATGAAAATCTATAAAACTTATTATTTTGTATTCTTTATTGTATGTACATATAAGCCATTCATGGTAGGCGTCCATCACTTTCCATCTGGCTATTATTTTTAAATCATTTTATTAAAGTTAATCCGATTGCAATAAGGAATTTTACACGATTTTATTTAGTTTCACCTGTCCGTGTCTGTGTAATGGAATCTTGCAAGTAAAATTTTAATCTATTCCCAGTGCCCGATTGAGCTAAAATTTGGCACATTAGTTTGGTTCCCAATACAATGCACGATTATTTAAAAGCCGCCATTTTCATTCCAATAAGTAACAAAATGGCGGTTTATCATTTCCATAGTGACCCTTATGATATGGGCATCAAATGAAAGGACTTGATGAGGGAGACACAATACGCAACATGACAAAATTGTAAATACAATATGGCGGCCGCTACAAAATTGATGATATGGATACCAAATGAAAGGGTTTGCTGAGAAAAATACGAATAAAATAAAACTAACAATTAATAATAAGTTTATAGTAAAAACATTTTTTAAAATAAGTTTTTGTTTAAATGCTCTAAAAAGAAGAAAATAAACTTTACATTAAATCAAACCCAACAATTTATTACATTACACAATTTATATGATACTAGCATTATTTTCTTTTTAACTATTAATTTATCTGTCGAAAAGTAAAGGACTTATGTCCTACTTACTTATGTAAAGCTTATTTGAAAATCGAACCCCGCGAAGATGACAGGGGGAATTAGTACTTCCTTTAAGTGTATGTTGTACATAAGTTTATTTTTTAAGTGTATTATTATTCTAACAGACGATGGAGGAAGTGTAAACAAGAAAGCAACGTAGACTCATTATTCTTCCATAATATTTTTTTTTTAAATCCATAATTTTCGTAATAAAAGCTGTTCAACTAAAATAAGTTCCAAAAGTACATCATAGTAGCAAAAACAAACTGAAAGTGTGTTAGTAAATTGGTCCCTCGAGCCCACCGTTATTTTCCAGTTTTTAACTCTGTCGTATCTGCTATGCATTGGAATACTTCGCCACGGCAAAATTTACCAGCAAACTTAATATTACCCTTGCACGTATGAATACTAAGATAATACAAGTTTATATCATAACTTTTATGACTATTATAAGTTAAGCCTTTGACGTAGTACTTGTAGATATTATATCGATGAAAAATATTAAACTAACATGCTTCGCTCAGTCAATTTGTGTTATATAGTGCTGTTATCAGTTATTTTATTGTTAGCAGAAGTTTCTTTCAACCTTATATACTTATGTCATTATTTATAATATAACATATTATTTTGTTTTTAAATATTTTAGAAATGTATAAAAACTATTTAACTCTCATACAAAAACGTATTGGTAATAATAATCTTGGTACTTACTAGTTAGGTACTCAAAATGGTAATGCGATTAAGCGATAAAATATTAAAAGGTTTGATTTAGTCATTTGGAAAAGGACTCCTTTCCACCCTTTGTCAGTCGTCCCCGTTCGTATTCACACGGTGCGGTCATCTTACCACCGATAACGCAGGTGACAGGGCGGCAGCAAGCACGGCGGCAGTTACAGATTCTATATTAAAGGCGATTTACAATATAAACTATCTGTGGATTATTGATCTGAAATAAATACTTATTATTATTATTATTATTATTATTTATCTTCAATTTAAATCAATTTTCTTGTTAATAACTTCAAAAGTGGCTTACCTTACTATCAGTAATAATTTGACATAATTTGTATGGAGTTAATGTCAAGGAATCGTCACATAGGTTATTAATCTATATATAAAATAACATTGTATCTAAGCCG